GAAGACAAGAAAGAAGACGCCGCCCAACACTGCAAGTGAGCTAGGTTGGCTGATAACTGATTGTCATACACGCTTTGGGTGGTGGCTATTCAGTTTGAAGCTGGCTGTGCTTGTAGTGCTGTTCAGTGAAGACTCAAGATATCAAGAGAGAAGATAAGAAGAGAGGAAGACTCAAGGAAGAAGACAAGAAAGAAGACTACAGCCCAACACTGCAAGTGAGCTAGGTTGGCTGATTGCTGATTGCCATGCATGCCTTGGGTGGTGGCTATTCAGTTTGAAGCTGACTATGCTTGGTGTTGAGATCAAGAAAGAAGAAAGAACACAGTCCTACATTGCTGTTCATTGTTGCAAGTGAAGTGAACTCTACTTCATAGCTGATGGGCATACCGCTGTGGGTGCATGGTGTCTATTTAGTTGTGTTGTAGTTGCTGCTTTGCTGGTGGCCTTGTTCAGTTCTGTAGAGCTATAGTTGTCCTGGGCCTTGGGCACTATAGAGACAGACCTGTAGAGCTGTTCAGCACTACAGAGCTAGTTGCCCTATGGACTTGGGGACTAGATAAAGACTCATACCTCTATAGTACCAGCAAAATCTTTTTTGGCCTTTTAAAGGTAACTTCTGTTTTACTGAATGTGATAGGCATTATGGATTTTCCTTCTTTTCTGTAGGCGGGTGGTGGTGAGGGGGGCCAGCTAAGCAGTGGCACATTTTCGCGATGGTGCTGGCCATCACACTGTTTATCAGTGTGCAAGACCACTGCAACTGATGATTAATTTTTTATTATTTTATTTTATTATTTTTAATAATCACTTGTTTCTAATAATTGAATGAAAATATTCAAAAAATTACCAAAGTGATGGTAAAGTAATGATGCTCACTCAATTTTAAGCTATGCATAGTCTTATGACTCGCGAAGGCTCGCCCCTTTAATGTTCTACATTGTTCTAGTAATAATAATAATTTTTATCTATGGAAATAGATCTACTATCTGTTGAGTCATAATACAATGCAGTGAGGCCATAGTTTATTGTATTGATAAAGTCTGTAATATCAACTTGAATTAATTTTCCACTTGTTCAAAACTAATAATAATATTATATCTATAATCAATTGTTATATTCATGCATCAGCAATTTATGTATTAATTAATTTATTTAAACTTTACAGTGACCAGCAATGAGAATAGAGTTAAGAGGCTAGATAAAAAGAAACACCAAAGGCCTGACCAAGGAAACATGGCCAGCCAGAAAGAAAAAGAAAGAAGATGAGAAAAGAAAGAAAAAGAAACAAAAAAACTAATAAGAAAAAGTAAAAATACAATCAAAATTAAAACGGTAGTAATGATGATAATAATAATAATAA